AATGGCAAAAGGCTTAACAACAGAAGCAGATCTCGGAGACCATGAGACCCACACCCTTACTGACAGGTGAGCCCTACCCTGTGCACTATTAATGTTTACTCTGCTGTCTTCCTGCAGTAAGAAGAAAAGGGGGCCTCCCTCGTGGCACAAGGGGTTAAGCTTCAGCACTATGAAGCAGTCCACAGCTACTGCAGCATGAGTTTGATCCCCGGCCAGGGAGCAACCCACATGGTGTAGCAGACCTCTCCTGTCTCGCCCGCTGCTCCCCTCAGCAGTGTATTTCAGTAGATCTGCCTATTCTGTTCCCCACTCTGTCTCTGGTGAATCCTCTCACACACACCCCATCTCTGGCCTACACCCCAGTTCTTGTATGCACAAATACATCTTTAAAAAATATTTTTAAAAAGAAGAAAAAAAAAGGAACCCCAACACAAGGGAAGACTAAACTATTCTGGGCCCCCACATTTGCCATATTTGATTCATTTTTTGACTTGTGTTCAAGTCCATAGGACACCCCAAGTGGTTTTTGCATGTGGTGGTCTTCCAGGCCAGTTCTGCCTCACCACTCTCTTCCTGTCCAAATCCTGAAGGATGCTGGTTATCACATTCACCTCCATTGAACATTCATCCCAAAATAGCAGCACAGCGGGTACACATGGCATAAGCAGGTTTAAGGGCCTACCATAACATGGCACTGCACATTTCTCAGCCAGGGATTATGATGAATGGCAAAGAGAAATTCTAGGCACAGTTTTGCTCCTGCCTCAGCAGGGCCAAGGTGCTGCTCCACAGCCTGGTAGAATGTCCTTGCTCACATACAGATTTAATGAGCCCATCTGACTGTGGGGATACATGCCAAGAAACTCCAATGGGTGCACAGGGGGCAAGTGAGGAAGGAAGGAGGTGAGGTGGAGGTAGGGAAGGAAAGAATTGCAGAAGCCAAAGCATCTGTGAAGCCATTTTCAATAACTACATAAATCTAGTCACTTCCCATTTCTGGTCGAGTGGTTGACCACAAAGTGACCTAAAAGTGAGCTGACCTCTCTGAAATCAACATCTCCCATGGAAATGAAACAACAGACATACTTGTTTTGATGTATGGCTGGGTGACATACTATAAATATTACATCACATAACCACAGAGGATGCCAATCAATAAGAAATTTTTTTAGACAGCACTAAATGAACCATGGGTTCTTACTTCTGAATACACTCCTTTAAGGCTCTTACTATTGCTTAAATGATTAATAGAAGACATATTGTCAGAAAATGTACTTAAAGTGAATAACAGTAAACTGTAGAAATATCACTCATTTTTTAAGCAATTTTCTAGTGAAAATGTCACATAAATTTACATAGGCCCTACTATTTAGATCTGGGTAGCAGCTAGGAGGAAGGCAGAACTCAAGTTTTGTGGATGAAGGGCCAGAAAAATATTTTACAAAAAAGAAAATAAAAAAGGCAGCTGCATATAAAAATCCAAACACCACAGGAACTCTGAATTCAAGAGTCATACTGTGAAACCCTAACATTTCTCAAGGACAAATGAAGCACAACTCCAGGATGGACAAAACAGAGTTGCTTACGAACAACAGAACAGAACTGTACCTCACACACATCTGTCTCATTCAAATGCAAGTGTGAGGGTTTGTCATATCAGAAATCAAAAATCAAATAAAAAGCTTCATACTAATAGAGAATAGCCCTACCACCCCATTAGTTGGACCCAGCTCAGTAAATGTGGAATTGGATGGACTCGAGTTTAATGTCTCCTCCATCATTCTTAGTTCCTATTTCTCTCAGAATGCCAACATCCTGCCATCATTGAGGGTGACTCATGGATTTTCTGAGGTAATTTTGAGGAGACGTGATTTTGACTGGAACGGCCTTTAGACTCCAGCTCCTGAGGACCACTTGGCCACATGCACATCTAAAACACAGTCTTCAGACCTCCCTGCTGGCACAAGGAGTTAAGTCTCAGCATTGTGAAGATATCCACAGCCACTACAGCACAAGTTCAGTCCACAGCCAGGGAGCTAAACCACACGGCACAGCAGACCTCTCCTGTCTCGCCCGCTACTCCCCTCAGCAGTGTATTTCAGCAGATTCGCCTGTTCTGCTCCCCACTCTGTCTCTGATGAATCCTCTCACCCCTGCACCTCTACCTGTACCCTAGTTCTTGTATGCATAAATAAATAAATCTTTACAAAAAAATAAAACACAGTCTTTCAGGCTCACCCCTCAAAGCCTTCAGGGGAACAGACCCAGAGTGGGAAGCACAGGCTTGAAGGGTAACCGGGCCAACTTTACGGGATCAATCACTCCTTTAAAATCAAGCCCTCACTAAAGAATCATGACCCAACAACCAGCACTTGGAATGAGTCTAAAGGATAATTCCTTGCTTATTTACTGCATTTGTTGGCATCTAAATGGATCTGACTCCACACAGGCAGCGGGTGTCCACAGGCCCTGCAGCTCTCTGTAAGTACTCAGCTCCTCAGAGGAAAGGATAACTTAAAGCCAGCTCTGGTAAACAATTACTAAGTCTCTATTCCATAGCCAGCAGGACTTTAGGCATTAATGAGGTTTCAAAGGACAAAACACAGCCACTACCTACTGGGAGTCATTCTTTGAATATTGACATATGTGTAGTGAGTGAAATGTGCAATATAGCATGTATTTAAAAAAAAAAGAACTCTAAATGCTACATAGTCAACAGAGATTTTAAAGACTATTTAGTCCATTAGTTCTTAATTGAGCACCAGAATTACCTTTTGACTATGTTGTTGCATTTGCAACCAAATGAATAGAAATGCCTTGGATGACTCAAAAATATAAACTTGTTTAATAGTCACTGAGATAGACTATGCTTCCCATTTTACACAGGTCACACTGTCAAGAGTTGGGTGCCATGAGGCAGAACTGGGGATTTCCCTCACTCTTCTCTCTAAAAAATGAAATTATGTGCCATTTTCATTCACATATAGGTTTTTGGTTCCAGAAATACATGAACTTATTAAGATGTTTGTAAATACATACACATACATAAGACACATATATAAGCACACACATCGTTATAATTTTTTTGTGCTATTCTAAAGAAACACACAAATTTGAAGAAAAGAGTCAAAAACAAGTTAATTTTTCAAACACTGCTTTGTTGAACAAAAATGTTTTCTGAGAGAATTTTCTTGGACTTCCTTGACCTTTTCAAAACATTGTAAGTTACCGCAAGGAGATAACATGTTTTAAGTAACGCTTCATACCTGAAATCAGGCTGTTACATGCTTCAAAGTTGATAAGAATGCTAAAGAAGTGCTTAAGTTCTAAATGATCTTTAAACTTAAAGGACTGATTTAGAAATTTGTAAATACTCACCTGTTTTACTTAATCATACTTATACTAATAGAGCTCACATTCAAATAGAGCTCACATTACTACATCCTAAATAAAAATGGAGAACTATTTAAAATTTTTTTTAAAATAGGATTAGAGCTTTATCCTGGTATAAAACCAGTCTAGGGGCCTCCTTGGTGGCACTGGGGTTTAAAGTCTCAGCACTATAAAGCTATCGCCAGCCACTACAGCATGAGTTCAACCCTGGCCAGCAAGCTAACCTACATAGCACAGCAGACCTCTCCTGTCTCACCCGCCGCTCCTCTCAGCAGTCTATTTCAGTGGATGTGCCTTTTCTTCTCCCCACTTTGTCTCTGGTGAATTCTCTCAACCCCTGCACCTCTGGCTTAGGTCCCAGTTCTTATATGCATAAATAAAAATAAATCTTAAAAAACAAACAATAAAACCAGTCTCAGATCCTTACAATAATAGTCAAGAAACCTAGAAAATAAGGTTTAAGTTTCAGAATTCTTCCCAACAAAGAAATACAATTGAATTTCTTCTGTAGCCTTACTTATATGTATGTGTGCATATTTTTAATATACAATATTCAACAACCTGTAGCATTTCTTACAACTTCGCCTTTATATCAAACAATTGTCCCTAACTATATTGCTTTATAAGTCACCATAGATTTTTATGAGTCCAAAAGAAAAGTTGCTCTCAAGCCATTATCCTGTTTCCCCAATGCTCCCACTTCAATTTTCCAGTACCCCTACCTGCCTTGTGCTTCCTTGCTCCCTCCCTGCCTCCCTCTTTCCCATGTTGATTCAGGTGGGGTGTTAATGAGAGATTATGTCATAATGGAGTGAGAGAGATTATACATAAGATTATGAAAAACATTTACAAAACAATACTCAAGAATGAGTGCTTATAGAATCAAAATGAATAAGGAAAATAAAAGGAGTTCAGCACAATGGATAAGATCAAGATGACTTTCTAGGGGAGGTGGGTTTGGATCAGGAGTTTCAAAGAAGATGGTTTAGAAGTAGTGAGTAAAATGAAAAGCATTTATATTTGGAATCTATCAAGCACGTAGTTGGTGGATGCTAAGGCATACATAGCTTTATGGAACAAAGTTCCATAAAATGTCCTCTTTGGGTTACATATAAGATCTCTCTACTTTGGAGGAAAATGCTCTCCCTCCAAAAAGTGACTCTAAGGCTGACCACAGGAAATTTTACAACACAGAGCAGGGTTGAGCAAAGCATAGCTCATGGGTTGAAACTGACCTGTTGCCTGTTTTTGTAAATAAAGTTTTATTCTAACATCGTCATGCCAATTGACTTATTTATGACTATTTCCACACCACAACTGGGTGCAGAGTTGAAGAGTTACAACAGAAACCATATGACCTTCAAAGCCTAAAATATTTATTATAGACTTGTTATTTAAAAAATAAAACGTCTGTCAACCCTTGACCTAGAACTCTGGTGACCTCAGCAAAGGGAGACAATGGATATCAAAAGGTGAAGTTTAACATTATTATGGGAGGTCCACTGATATTTATGAAACACAGACTGTGTACCCCATAGTATACTATCGCCCTCCCCAAATATTCTATTTTCCCTTTACCCACTAGGTTCAAAAACCTAGATACTCACCTGTATCTCCTGTAGTCTTCTTCATCCTTTTCCAAGTTGACCAGCTCATTGGGACACGCCACATTACCCAGCAGGCTGAGGTACTCCAGAGCTGGAGTCACTTCTGCCAGGTGATCAAGCAGACACTCCAAATCAGTGATGTGACAAAAGTCAAGGATCTTGACCCATAAAGACAACAAGCTTAGCAAGGAACATAAACTATAAGTGAAAGACACAACCAGTCTGCTCCAACAAGATGACATGGGTGAGGATTAAACTCAACATATCTGTGGGTGTGTGGCATGGATAATATTTTACTCCCACTGTTGGTGACATAGCCCAGTTTCTCCGGGCAGGAAAGGCTAAGTCCAGATCACTCAAGAGAGACACAGTGAACTTAACTGTTTTATCACATTTTTCTTTCCTCTATAGTGTAGATTCCATGTGGTAAAATGTTCACAATATACAAATGCATAAAACTTTATTTTTTTCTAGTAATAAAAGTAAGGAATTATTTTCAAAGGTCTCATTAAAATATATTCCCCACTCTCCTTTATGGGGTAATTTATCATTAAAACATATGGGAATGACACAAATGGAAAAAAAGATCAACATCCTCTTATGATCTGAGAGCCTGTGGTATAGCTAAGCATTGCTCAGTGGCCTCACTGGAGGCAATAAAGCATTAGATTGGGAGAGAAGGAGAACAGAAATAGGAAGAGAAGACAAATTAGGTAAGTGAGGATAGGTTTCGCCAAGTCAGGCAGGTCACAATGCGTTTCTTGAGAATTTGTTTTGGATGTAATAGCCTATGAAGGAGAACATGAGGGAGGGGCATATAACAGTGGAATTATTCTACCATCCATCCCTTCAGTGGTATCCACTGTATGGTAAAAGTAAATACCAAGACCTCTAAACCAAATAAAGCAAGAGTCAGGGAATCACAGATATTGGGAAAGTAGTCCAACATCAACTCCTGCTTAGGATCACATACAGATGTGTACATGACCCTAGGCATGGTGATGATTAGACAGAGCAGATATGGAGGCCATGACTACCAGCAGCCTGTGCAAGAGAGGAGTTACTGAACATTAGCAGACAGAATGGAGCCCTTGTCAGGAAGTGACAACAGAAAACACAGATGCTAAAGATGTAAGGGTGGATGCAGCACTCACGAATCAACGATTCAGGGTATAACTTGCAGGAATGAACTCCACTTGGACCTAGGAGAGGAAAGCAAAATAAAAGGACAGGGCTGGCTTACTCTAGCAGAATTATCTAACCATGGGATGTTACCCAGATTTTCTCACACTTCATTTCAACTTGTCAGAGAAGAATGAACTCCAAATCCAATCAATGTCTGAATCCAATCCCTAACATACTTGCCAAGGGGTCACCACCAGGTAGTTCATTCTCTGACAAGCATAAAAGAAAGTTTTTCTTTCCTCTGGGATTGAATCTTCCTCAACTTCCTACCCACTGCGCTAAACTTAACAGCTTGGAGTCACAAAGAATAAGACATTCTTCTCATCCACAAGATGACCCTTCAGATAGTCTTCCTAAGATTTTATATTCTCCAAAATAAGTTCCTTTAGGCATTCTTCACACATATGTTCTGCTACCATCATATGCAACAATAAATACTGCATTCTTCAAGGAAGCAAGACAGAGACTATGAGAGGGAGATCACAAGCAAGAAAGGGGAATGCTTATAAGAGGGACACCAAGCATTTGGATCCACTATGGTTTCCAATTTTCCAATATCAACCCCACTTCCTAAACAAAGACTGCACAATGGACATTGAAGTTATCAATTCTTCACCTTTTTAAAAAATAGTATCAAAGAATGACCACAAATGACCACTAGAATGAGAATGATGAGAATGGGAACATGTGACAAGCAGAGAAAAGGTTCAACCAGGAAGATTAAGGCTGCAAGCACAGTGGGTAAGTAGCCAGAAGTCAAAACATGAATGCATTTCACCACCTAACATAAAACATGCACACTAGATTTTAATATGCAATCATCACACACACTTCAAGAAAATCATCTAAACATAACCAATGAAAAGAATAGTGAGCAACTTCAGGAAGAAATTACATTTTCCAAGGAACTTCTGTCTTCGTATGCTTCAGTCATAGTTACATTAAAGAGAAAGAAATTTCTACCCATACTCTGTAGCAGTGCTTCCCTCAGACCCCAGAGGTACCACAGAGACCTCTATAACTTGCAGTGACCTTCTCAATTTTTTTAAGTCCCTGTCCATTGTTCAGTATTGGTCATAGGCCACACTCATTCAGGTGGGGTACCCTATGCCTGAGCTTGGAAAGGCATGAGTCTCGGTCCCAGCCATTTTTTCTTCCCTTTAGGGATCCCTCTGACTTTTTATCCTAACTTTTTATCTGACTTTTTATCCTCCATCAGATGCTCCAAGAAGCACTGGGTCTCATGCCTGTCAAATTGCCCCACAGACTCAATGCCAGGCCTTATTCCCGGGAAGGAAACCAGACAAAATGATCACTCATGCTGACCAGAGCAAGATTTCTTTGGTGGGACTGCAAGAGATTCAGTTGTCAAAATGGTGCTGTCATACTGACTTGGGGTGATTCAAATTATTCAAGCAGATAATGACATCAGGCAACCTAAGACAAGTCCTTTCTACTATGGATGGAAAAGACAGATCACAAACTATTTCCCTCCTGGAGACAAACTCTTTAAACCTTGACTATTTTTTCAATTATTTGTAAAGGTGGGAAAATGAAGGAATGGAATACAAAACTGTTAAGACTTTAAAGGTGAGACAATATTGGGAAACTGAGTTGGGCTAAACTCCCAGTCATTTCTCAACATTGAGTGACAAGAGGTAGGAAGCCTGGCATGACACAACCCAGGGGGTTATGCCCAGTTTGAGTAAATCTTCATATGTAAACTTACTGCAGAGCTTGCAGTCATCTTAGAGCTCATATAAAGAAATGTCTCAGCATTTTCCCAAATTTAATAATTTTAAAATTTTTAACTTAAATTTAGTGGTGAATTCAGTAATGATGAGCAGTAACACCGAGGAAAACATTTCTAAACTATTAAAAATAAAAATCAATTTTCAATTAGATGGAATTATCTTTCTTTTCTCTCTACAGAAATTATAAAATTTCATCATATAATTAAGTTATATGATGGGGAATTTGCAGAAAAAAATAGGAAAACAGGGTTTATAGATGTTTGATAATATAAAAAGGATGTTTGATAATATAAAAAGGTGGTTCATTTTCTAAATATTAACTCTTTTAATATTTGTCAATTTGAAACAGTTTGCTTTGCTTTGATATATTTGTATCCCAAATACTTATCTTCATGACTAGTTTTGTATTCATTATTTTGTATTATTTGCCTTTCAGAGAGCCTCTTCAATTTATGTAAGTTTCACACCCCATAAAACCTACATCTGCATCTAAACTGGAGACCGTGGAGATACCAATTTATTTGAATGCCTTGGTCATGGGAAACTTCTTGGGCAAAGGGTCTGCACACTTCAAGAAGCTTTAGCCATCCTATGCCATTGAATCCAAGGAATTTTGTATTGATTAGAATTTTTGGAGCCTTGGAGTCTGCCTCATTTATGATATTCTGTGTAGCAGAATTTACTCCATCTCCCTAAGTCTTTTAACTACTCACTAAATGATCAGTCAGGCCAAGTCAGATAGTCTCCCCAAATCAATGCCAGCCAGGACTCACTGGCACCTATTCCGTGAATGCTCTGGGCCAGAACTTCATCATTATGTTGATACCACCACTGGAAGATGAAATGAGAGAGGAGTTTGAATTGGTTTCTCAGCCTCAAGGGTCAGCAAGGACACACACAGCCTTGTCTTACTTGATGGTGGGCTCTGAGACAGAACTAGACACATCCCTTTTAGTCAAGTTGCATAAAAAATTAACGAGTGACAATCAAAGGAAGGAATTTGGTGTCCCTGGCTAACTAAGACAACCACAGTGGAGACACTTGCAGGGATTCTCCTAAGGGTGCCTTTTCTCCTTTTTCCTTTTTTAAAATTGAAGTTATTTGGCATGCGTTCAGCTCTCTCCAGCTGGATTCTCGGCACACACCTGGTCTCCCTCATCAAGTCTTCTCCAGAGTACTTGCCGTTTAGATTTTTTTCAGTATTGTCTACAGAAAGTTGCCATCGCAGAGCCCAGCTGTCATGGCGAGGCTTGCCAAGGGAGATTTTCTGCAAGGGCCCAAGATCAAAGTAACATCTTGCCTTGAAAGTTTGGAGCTCGAGGGAGGAGGGGTGTCTCCTGGTGTCAAGTCTATTCGCAAAGGTATGAAGCTGTTTCCAGGTGAGAATGGACATGTACCCTTCCCCTCTGTGCTCAGCTTCAGGTCAGAGGGCAGGGCAGCCTAGATAACCACCGGGAGGGATTTCATCAAAGCTCATCCTAACAGAGGATTTTTGAGTGCTAACTTTATCGTCCATATGAAATTATCTCATTTTGATTCACACATATCATCCAAATAATGATCATCACAGCCAAATAACAGTTAAGGAAACTGGTTAAAGGCCACATAGTAAGGAGTCACATTCAACCTAGATCCTAAAGAAATGACATTTCTAGGGAATAACTGATATCTAACTTCCTAACCCATAGAGGAGTTTATAATACTAAAAAATAAGGAAACTTATATGCTTTTATAGGAGACCCTCAGGTGCTGTTATCCAGTTGTCTCTACACCTCGATTATTTCCAGTTTGGGCTCATTCATTTAAAGCATTGAGGCTTTGGCGAACAGTCAAATGTACCAAGAAGTTGTAAAGTCTTTGAGTGTTAACAAAGTGATATCCCATTTACTACACCATAAATCTCTCAATAATACTCTGAAGTATATTATTACTCTGAAGTATGTATACTATTACCCAACAGATAGAGTGAGTTCTCTAACAAAATGCAGAGATCCTCTGGAGATGATATAGTGACCTGTTGTGGAGTTCTCGTCCAGCCTTCTGAGTCAGTGTGTTGGTGTTCCTACCACAACACAAGTATGTAATATTTTCTCTTTCTCCTGTCTTTCTCCTTGTTGGATCTACAATTTATATGCTGGCTTTTTGTACTTGGAAGACAGAAAGTCACTGCCCTACCTCCCCATTCCAAGGGAAAATGAGGGTAAATCTTTTCATTATTCTGACATCAGTTTTCCTCCTACCTGGTGTTGGATATTCAGACATGATATAGCTGAGAATGTTGCCAAATACCTAAACCTCTTGCGGAAGAGTCAGGAATAATGTGTACCTGCTGAATAAGTGAGACACTGAGCCTGAGAACATGAACATTGGGGAAAGGAGGTCAACTCCACAATCAATGTCCACTGCTGCCATTGAAATGAACCAAAGAAAGATCAAGTAGTCACCAGGGAAGACCAGGCTAGTAGGCATACCAGGGGGATACCAAAGATGAGAGCTGAGCAGAAGTAAAAAGAAGGGCTTACAGAATGAAGATAAGAAGTTAAGCAGAGATATATAGCTGGGAAGTGAGGTATCAGTGAATTGAGAAGAGATTTTCAGATGCTGGGTTTGGGCTCTGGAATCCCTTACCTAAGCTCCCTTTGCAGCTGGAAGCAGAGTAGGCACAGGTAGCGGACTGCTCCCACACTCTCATTCCTCTCCTGGGCAGTGACTGCCCCGCCTCTGGGTTTCTGAATCTGGGACTGGGAATTAGCACATCTGGGCTCGACATTGAGCCCCACAGCTGACAATCTATGTGACTTCATAAAGTTCATACTCTCCCCATTTATACATAAAAAGGGAAGATATTCACCAACAGTACCCAATCCACAACACAATATGAGGGTGATGTTCAATTTAAAAAAACAGAGAACCACTCTGAATCTATACAGGGTGGTATTGCAGGCTAAGTTCCAAACCACTACACTAAAGCAAGTATCGCAATAAAGCAAATCACACAAAATTTTGGTTATACAGTTATATGAAAGTTATGCTTACACTATACTGTAGTCTATTAAGTGTGCAAAAAGCATTACACCTTAAAAAAAGTATATACCTTAATTAAATGTGACACAGTGCACATGCTGTTAGAAAAATGGTACTGATAGAATTACCTGATGCAGGGCTGCCACAAACCATCCATTTGTAAAAAATACACTACCTGATGAAGGAAATTCTATGGGGACTACACCTGAGGGGGTGGGGGGAAGCAAATAGTGTTTAAAAATGAACAATGATGTAAAAAAATTTCAAAAATGCACTGCCTGGGAAGAGCAATAAGGCAAAGCACAATAAAACAAGATATACCTGTATTCCGCACTTGTTTATATTGTGGCCTTACAAAGATCAGAGAAGTTCACATAATTCTCTAGGATAATAATAACAGCAGCAATACTGACCCTGACATTACTTCCTATGTTACTAGAAATTAATCTTTGTGAGATAGAGTAACCTCACAACCACCTGTGGATGGGTATTATCATTGTACTCATTTCAAAAGGAAGCCAAAGCAAAGAGAACTTTAATAGTTTGTCCAAGGTCATGTAATGAGCAGCACACCTAGGCTACAAGCCCAGGAAATCTGACTTCAAAACTTCTTATCTATATGTAAGAGTGTCTCTGGCCAAAGGCTAAAAGAGGCCCATATCCCAAGCCCTCAGGATCCTATTATGGAGTATTTACAGAGTATTATATAGACATTTAACTATGAGTAAAGCCAAAATGGAAAAAATCTAGATTTGTAAGGCAGAAAAGCTGGGGTGGGGTGAATAACCATTTTACATGCCTCCATGCCTAAAAGCAAAAGAAAAAAGAAAAAAATTCAAAACAAAGCCAATTTCACAAAAGAAGCAGAAATAGAACCCAATTTGACAGCAAGTTTCTTAATACATCTAAAATAAGATACAATTTAAAAGAAAGAGTTTCTACTTACCTTTTTAGAAGGTCAATAATTATTGTATTCTAGAGCTCACTTTATTACAAATATGAAATAAAATCTTAAGAGATAACCTACCAAGTCCTGTGTAGAAACTGTTAGAAGAATGAGTCATGGATCCACACTTTGCATAATCCACACTTTGGCCATGGGAGAGCAACACACATGATGCAAAAAGGACATGAAAAATACTTACAAAATGGGGCGTATGTTCTGTGAACATCCCTTCCATGTGCAGAGGCATGGAGTCAATAACCGCTAACAATCCGGCCATATAAATTAGGCCCAGTCCGAGCTGAGCTTCTAGATCACTATGGCTGCATGAGGAACCCAAGACATGACTAGCAGAAGAACTGTCCAGCTGAGCCTTGCCCAGATAGCTGAGTCACAGAATTAGAAATAAATATTAGTTGTTTCACATCATTAACTTAAGGATGTTATTTTGCAGCAAAGCTAATTGATAGAATCCAAGTTGAAGCATTTCATAGAATAACAAAAGCTAGTGGAACTTAGTAAATATTGGAGAACTGGGGAATTTTCACAAGCTAGTAGCTCACTGTTAGCTGAAAAGACAGGCAAAAGTATTCCATTAAGAGGATGGTATGTAACATCACTGCTTTTTATCTACCTTTCATTCCATTACTTCTAGGTCAAGGATATGGAGAAAGTTATCCGATTTTCATGATCACACCCACAGACCAGAAGGAAAGGAAGCAGTCATGCTACATTCTGAGAGTGCCAACTATCACGCTTTGTACCTACTCATCATGCTCTACAGCAGCACAGTGACGTAACTGGACAGAGTGATGTGGGGCACAGCTACATATTGCATTTCCGCTTCTGTCTCTCCCAGGCCATTATCATTACTCCATCAGCATTACTACTACGGAGGCATAGAGTGGGAAAGGAACTCAAACAAAGATAAACTCTCAGTACAATAATGCCAAGAGGCCTAGTAATCTCTGGTGACAGAAATACTGAGAATAAACCCATCACCAAGTCCAACTTATTCCTTTAAAAATGAAAATCAGTGACTCTTAGAGGATGATTTGTCCAAGGTCATACAGCTAAATATGATTGAACTGACTCTTGAACCAGTCTGAGGTCTTGAATACTCTAGAGTGGCGTGGGCCAAAGAGAAAGAGCACTGTACTCTGAGGGCGAAACCCTATCATCCAAATTCTAATCTATTAAACCTCCTGTTCTTTACTGACTTAAGAAAATTACTAAGATAGTTAAGGAAGCCGCAAGACATACTATCAATATAATAATTTTCCAATCAATTAACAGAAAACTTGGTTGACCAAAGAGGAGGAGAGGGGGAAAATTCATCAGCATTTCATTAGTAGATACTGATATCTATTTGTTGGCCTTCTCATTCTGCTTCATTAAGTCAATAATGGCTACAAGTAGCATATTTTACAGAATTATGAAAATACTAGCTTATGACTTGAAACACGAACAGCAGCTAATAAATGATTTTGTAACTCATTCTTAAATACAGGCATGCATGTATATTTAATATATGTATCTGATTTTATTTCATACTCTAGGAGAAAATGCCCTGATCACTTTTCTATTTCTAATATATCAAGTAAGCATGAACAAGTGACTAAACCACTCCAAGTTTCAAATATTCTATCAATAAAACAAGGTGATTGAACTTCAAGTCAGAAGCAACACAGCAGAATGGAAAGAACATTGGATACAGCTGCTGCTGAGACTGAATCCAGAACTTAGCCTGTTGTTAAACGTCTGGCTATGGGTCTATACTTCACCTTTTTCCTCATCTAGGTAAATGGAGAAACCATACCAGAGGGCTGGATAAAAATGAAAAACAATTTGTATGCCTAACATTATCCAACACAGAGCCATAGGATTGCTCAACAAAAGACAGCTCGTGTGATAACATACATTTGCAGAGGTGTGAACATACACACTGAGAACATAGCCGGTATTATAAATGGTTGCCTCAATAAACGTAATTGAAAAATTAAAAATAAAAGATTAAAGGACGGCGAATGAGAATGATTCACTCATTCATGCCACCAACAGTTATTAAACCTCAGCTCTGAGTCAGGTTATAATTCTAGTAGCTGTGAAGGATACAGAAATCAACAAACCTCACAAGCCCCCTGCCACATACAACTCGCACTGTGAGGGCATGGAGATGCACAACTCGGATACAGGAGGGGCTGTATGCTGCATAAAGATCCTGATTCCATTGTTAGCTTATTACACATTCCAGAGCAATTGGTGCTTCCCAGTCCTGGCTGGCTAGGTCCTCAAAGACTTAAGGAGCACCCAGATACAAGAATGGTTCTCCTAGACGGCTCTCATTACCCAGTCAAGTAAACACCACAGAGGGCAGAGGCAGGCCTGGGCATCACACTTATCTTGCACCTTAGCTTCCCCCTAATTTCTCCTTTGCCGGAGCTGTTTTCTAAGTCTTGGCAGAGCCTTCCAGAACCCTCCATGAAGGCAGTGTGCTTCCCCGCATTACCCCCTAGTTCCCACCAGAGGTCGCCCTCCTACACAAGCCCAAGCCAGGAGAACCCAGCTTTGCCTTCTCAGCAGGCGTGACATTATTTTCTTTCTCTATTTTTATCTATTAAAAAGATTTCTTCACAGCCATAACTTAGATCTCTACACTAAAATGGAGCAACAGGAAGATATAATGGTGCATTTCATTTATGAATGACCTATAATAAATTACTCTGAAGTGTCCCGAGTGCCAGAAGACAGAACGCTTTGTCTGCCCATGGACTGTATTTCACATACTTTAATTTAGCTGACACATAAAACTCATTTGACATTTCGCAGGTATTTGTGTGGGGCGGGGAGGACGAGGATCTGCGGGAGGGGACCACTGCGGGGCTGGGCGGGGAGTGGGGGCAGCCAGCAGAGGCAAGGATATTTGGTTCTTGTTGAGGGTTAAGGTATGGAGCCTGGGTAACCCTGGCAACACGAGGTCGTTCCCCAGCAGATTGTTGTCCAAGATGAGTTCCTCCAGGCTCCCGAAAGCGCTCAGTCCTTCCAGTGACCTGCAATGACAAAGGCAACAGGAAAAATGATCCTGCACTAAATCAGGGAGGCCATTATGAGCCGAAATAAATATTTTAACCTTCCCTTTCAGGACTGGGAATAGTTTGGGCTTGGTGCCTGTCAGCAAAGTGAATGACAAGAATTAGTAGCAGGAGCCAGGGCGGGGGCGGCGGGGGGAAGGGGCCGCTGGCACTCACCGCATCCTTCACGCATTGCCAACATGAAGGATGAGGGTCACTTAGTGAGTAGCCAGGATCCAAAACAAAGGGCTTCAGATACGGCCTGCAGGATAAATTTGTCAATGTCTTGTGCCTTCAGGCACCCAGCCTCGGCTGACCCTAACCTCCATTCCCAAGATAAATAACTCTGTCACAGTTCACCTTCATTCCCTGGACACAAATTTAAGTTGTCATCCATCATTCCTGCCCAGAAATATCATACCCCTCTTACAATAATAAATATAACTTCAAGTATCATTTCTTAGCGGTTCTCCTTTGCACGGTCGTAGGAAGCAGCAGGGAAAGCTTGCTTTCTCTACGTTCTCTGCCTTTGACTTTTTTTTTTCTCCTCCTCTGCTTTTTTTTTTTTTTCCTTTACTAATCACTTAATTTGCTTCTACCCGGTGCCCAAAGCTGGCCCCCAAAGCAAGGCATTTGTGGAAGAAAATAATCACTCCAGCCTGAGAAGGCTGTTTCTTTTTCTTTCAAGATTTCTTTTATTTGATTTTGTTTTGGGCTTTATTTTTGTTGGGTTGGGGGTGGGCGCTAGGGAAGAGGTTGGGGGAATTTCTGCTTTGAGACTCCTGGCGTAAAGTTACTGTTTTTAATTTATGAAAAGTGGATTTCTCACTTCTTTTTGAAAGAAGTGCCCTGTGTATCAATGTAGATGTCGAAGCAGTAAGTAAACAGGCATCTGAAAAAATTAAGAACCCAGCTTAGGGGGGAAAGTATCAGAAAGGGAAAAAAAGCCCAGTTTATACATTTAGCTGAAAGTTAACTCTTAATGTCCTGGGCACAGGAGCTTGCGGGTGGGGGACAGAGGGGCAGTTGTGCGCATGTGCTCGCTCCCGTGCACACAGACCTTAATTAAAGCAAGCCTCGGTGGAGGGGCCTACGCGGATAGAGACACTTAGTCCCAGCCCATTCACCTGCCAGACCCCAGAGCTGTGCTGAGCTTGCATAGGCTGACAGCTGAGCTACGACATCGACCAGAGGGTGGACTCGCATGGGATCTCCTGGCTATTCTATAAAATGTGAGGAATCAGGGAGATGTCGTCCACACTATTTATTCATTTACTGATAGCACTCCCATTACAGACCCACCTGCCTGCGTGGGCAATGCTTGCGCATCTGGCCTGCGTGTGTACTTAGCACCAGAGCTTTCTGGAGGCATCTATATCTCCCTGTGGGACCTCTGACAAGAGGACTCCAAACAGGGTGTTATTGCTTGGGAGGTGTAATGTGCCTGGTGAATAAGTAATTAGGACTCCAGACTCTGCTGGGCCGAAGCGCTACAGGCGAGGCCCATTCCTGGTACTTGAACGTCATGCAGCCTCACCAGAGCCCAGCACCCAGACCACACCTGGTCCCAGAGCCAATGCTACCTGCTTCTCAGCGGGAGGGCAATGCTGCATACACTTGGGATTTAGGGTGTTGCATTTCTCTTCTTCATGTTTCAGTAGTTCAAAATACCACTTCAACACAGGTAGCCAGGAAGGTGTGGGATTTTACCTCAGAGCTACCACCGACCTGTGCTGTGAATGTGGCCACAGTGATAACCCATATGAACTCCTTCTTCTGGGATGCATCAGGCTCGTGGGAGCCTGTGGAGAATATGCAAAATAAGACTAACAAGTTACTAGTAAATGTTGGTTTCTTTCTTTTCCTTCCTCCTTTCTTTCATTGATTTTTCTGGGATCCCTGATCCGCTAATCTCCCCTGGGGCTAGGGGAGAGATTGCAGGGGGCAGGTTCAGGATGCAGAATTGGGGGCAAGTGAACAAATGTGCAAATGTAAGTCTGCTTCTGCAGGAAAACTTTGAACTTCTCCAACTTCTCCCCTCCATGGGAGTTAATGAGTGATGATCCTAAAGTGCTTTTCAGGACTATGCACCGCTCACTACAAGGGGCATAGAGGCCACCTCCAGGCAGAGCACCTTATGGGTGACTAATAAATCCTTTGTGCGCAAACATCAGTTGGATCCTACTCAAAAGCAACATCCAAATACACTTTGTTCCCAAGATATGTTATACAAATATAGTACTCTCATCATGTGGGTCAGCTAATGGTTGGCCACTGGCAAACAGGGGGAAGCTTCTTTCCAAAAGTGCTTCAGGGGAGAAAATGACAGGTTATGATGAGGGACAAAGTCCAAAGCCAGTGAAACACTGGAGGGTGTGCCTGCACAGACAATCTTTCTCTTGGGGGTAGGGGATGAACTCATGTCAAGGAGTGAGGATTCAGAGAGGAGCAGGGAAGCTCAGGCTCAAACCCCCTTTCACTTGCCTGGATTTGAGATCCTTTTTGCCATGTAATGTTATTAGTTGCTCAGTTAAAACCAAAGCATGTTACCTGGTGAGCTGCTGATTAAGAAAACCTGACCTCCATGTCATCACTGTGTGGTACGCTTGGTGACTTAATCAGCTAGATTCAGAGCAAAGAGATTAGGGACAGAAGACAGAAGGCATTGTAAAGGGAAATAAAAAGGGAAAGATTTCTGGGGCGTGGCTGGCACATAGAGGATGGTTTTAATTTTTACTTCTTCAACATTTTACTTTTGTTGTTGCTGCTGTTTTTCTGGAAAGAGTAGGAAAAATAAATTTGCAACAATCTTGGAGTGCACACCCCTCTCTACAAGAGACCTACAAACGGGTATGTGCTGTTAAATAAAATGACAAGGTAAGAAGAAAAAAGGCTTCAAGGATCCACACAGATCTATGTTGTTTAATGGAACTGCGATGGTAGCTACAGGAAAAAGATGATGGGACTGTCATTTCTCTGCTGTAACCCTGTGTTTGGACTGCGGAATGGAGAGCTACACCCCAGATCAGAGCCCAGATGGACAAGGAGACCGTCACTGTGAGGTGACGTACCTGCTTGCTGGCCTTTGGATATGAATGTTTAAGAGGTGAGTTGGGAAGGTAAGGCAGGCACCTCTGCCAAGGTCAGGTGCTGGAAAGTAAGGTTCTTTAGCTACCAAGGAGCAGCCAGCTGGAGAGAGCACTTCTCAGCCCTGTAAATAGACACCAAGGACAGACAGGGAGAGCCAGTGTGCAGCCTATCTGGGGCAGGTGGTTTGCTCTGGAAATCTAATCAGCACCTCAGACGCACACTGCTGACTGCCTGCCTCCTGCCCCACCAGCAGGAAAGCTGCCCATTTTCTCACCCACAGGTACTCTTGCTTGGTTACCTTTGCTGCAGGGTTCCAGCTGGGCTCTCCCAGGAGTCAATGTGGCTGCCTGGAGAGTCCCAGTGCCTTTTCCAAAGTCATATCAAAATGACAAAACATCACAACGCATTCGGCTCCAGCAGATTCAAACAGAGAGAACTTCTAAGTTTCCTCTGTAATTAACCCTATCCTCGTTAAGATAATTATGATCAAGCTTCCTGTCACAGTTAATATCCCAGCATCATTGCCCATGGCTCACACTCTGCCCTCATTAGCTTATAAAAACAGCGACACTAAACAGGCCTCGGCTGCCTGGCCCAAGCTAGGCCACTGGCTGTGAACCATTATGGAGGGGTCTCCCTCAGTAGGGTGGTAGGCCCCACAAGGGGGCTGTCCCTTGAGCCCACTCCCTTCAGCTCCTGGGCGGTGCATACTGAGTAACCTTCATCTTCTCCCTGAAATAACCTTCATCCTCTCCCTGAAAGTAAGCTACTCTGAGAATGGGGAAGGATAAGGGCCAGGACAGGGCAGGGCTAATAGGTTTGAGGCAGAGAAGTTACTAACCCATAGCCATCCCTCACCACCTCTTATGCAGCAAAACCCAGAAAAGTCAGAGAACCCGCCTCTGTGCAAGAATTGCCAGTCCTACCCCCAAGATCTAGGCTGTGGCAAGAATAAGATGCCTTTCTCCTCCTCGGCTCCCAACCTATACCAGGGGTGACACTCATATATGGTAAGAGATGGCAGGGAACATGTGGAGACAAATGTCCAGACTCAGACAGAAACAGATCACTATGGAAGCACAGTGGGTCTCAAATCTAGGACCAAAGGCTGGAATGTTCTGAAACCAGTTAAAAAATAAGTTCTCCACTCAGATCTTTACCTACTTACTCCACTATACTTACGTAAATATCTTTATTTTTAACTGAGGAAATTGAGAGGCCAGGATAATCCTAGAGAACCTACTCCATACAACTGGTGTCAGTCTCACTTTGTAGTCTCGTAGACCTTCAATGATTGGCCACTGCCTGCTCCATAATGGTCTTTCTGGATGGTTTCTGTCTGCTCAGCCGCCAACAAAAAGGGATCTCCATATAACCTCCTTAAAACCTGGAAAACTGTCAAATGCACAACGGGGACTTGGTCTCTCCTTGCCAACTGACTACTCCTTTGCCACAAAGCTATGACTTACTAAGAGAAAAGCTGCCAATAGTATCCCAAGGGTAGGGCCTCCCTGGTGGCGCCAGGTTAAGCACAGCACTGTGAAGCTATCCACAGCCTCTGCAGCACAAGTTCGATCCCTGGCCAGCCAAGTTGCTACCCACAGGTGCAGCAGACATCTCCTGTATCACCCACTGTTCCCCCTCAGCAGTGTATTTCAGTTAGTCTGCCTGTTCTGTTCCCCGCTCTGTCTCTGGTGAATCCTCTCACCCCCCACACCTCTGGCCTGTTCTTATATGCATAAATAAATAAATCTTTTAAAAAAAGAATCCCAAGGGTAGGACAGAAAGCTGGCCTTGGGAAGGCTGACCAGGGGCTAGGGCAATCCCTAAATTTGTATTCGTACAGAGGACAGAATATCTTCCTCGCTAAGCTAGGATCATGCATTCAA